GTCCTTCTTTTTTACCATGAGGGTTGGACTATTGTATGGAGATTTACTAGGCCTAACAATTCCTTGATCTAAAAGTTCACCCACATATTCTTCTAACAAGGGCCTCATCCCAAAAGGAATGGGATACTGCCTTGTATAAATGGGAACTTTAGTATCCAGAGGAATATCTGCCTCGTAGATTTCACAGAGGCCCAATTGGTCAGCCTTTTTGGCTAAGACATTTTGATATTTAAATAATAGGGCTCTGACTTTTTCTACGAGGTGATCAGGGCACTCAGAAGATTTTATATTCTGCTCGATCAACTGCCTGATGCTCAGATCCTCTTCTTTCCCATGGATATTGGTTTTGTCCTGAGTAGGACTGGGAAATTTGGAATTGTTCTTCCTAACGTGATGGATTCTAGAAGACTCCGAAAAATGGACAGAACCAAATGTGAGAGTCAATTTAGGAGAAATCTTGATTGGTTCATCTGTCAAATTCATGCAGAGAACTGGAAGGCTTACATTGGAAATCCTAGAAAGACTTCTGGCAATTAAAACCCCATTTTCTTCACAATTGTGTACATAGACATCTTTTCCCTCATGTCTTGCCCCTTTTAATGAGGGCCTTGCTTTTATTAGCAATTGAGACATACTGGGAATAGATACCCTGGTACTTGGGTACCCAGCAAATAATGGGGGCGTTGGGCTTTGAACCATTGAGAGAAACAGATTGCCAATGCATTCTGCAACCCATTCTCTCAATGGTTGGGATTTTGAGCTAACGCCCCCTGTGTGAGTTTTGAGGGAAGCGTTCCAGGAAGCATTGGGAGTCCATTGGGAGTCCATTCTGAACACTGTTTGGGATGAAGGCCATTCTGAAATGCGTTGTTGGTGTGTTTTGGAATGGTACACGCAACGTTGTGAGCAATAATATCTGCACCCCATTGAGAGCATCATTCAAGAATGCAGTGCCAACCTGTTTGGCAATGTAGAAATGTGGAGGATTGAATTAATAAAATGCTGCATATATTATGTACAATAATATATTTATTATATTAAGATATTGTAAATCATCCTCAGTGAAATAAACAAGGCATTGCTGCATCAGAAGGATTGCATACATAAATGCGAAATAATTGTAAATTGCATCAGCAGCAACTGCAAAGTTTGAAGTAATGTCAAAAATTATTACTGTATATTCAAGTGTGAACATTGCATACCATAGCATAACATCGCATACCATAGCACACCATAGCACACCATAGCACACCATAGCACACCATAGCACACCATAGCACACCATTGCACAGTTTATTGTAATTTCAACAGTTTATTGTAACTGTTAAAAGTACAGTTTATTGTAACTGTTGAAAATTACAGTTTAGTGTAACTGTTAAAATTACAGTTTATTGTAACTGTTGAAATTACAGTTTATTGTAACTGTTAAAATTACAGTTTATTGTAATTCTTTGGAGCTAGATGATCCAGCTCCATGAATGTATTTGTTTCTGAATTTGTTACAGTAAATTGATATTGAACATTGCTGAAAATTTTCACTAATCAAAAGAATTGTTTTTCAGAGAAAATGAATCAAGAATTATTTCAGCATCAATAAGGTAGAAAAAGGTCAGATTTGTGAATGATGGAAATGTTGGGGAGGTTTTTTACACAAAAAATGATTTCCTGAACTCTTTTTACACCTCAAAAGTACTCCAGATCCTAATTTTCTTAAGTAATCTGATAATACCTCATTTTAGTATAAGTAGCATGAGTATTTGCATTATACCTAGCTTGTGAGTGCATAGCTAGATGTGAAGGTGACTGACTCTCACTCAGATGGCCCCAGTTCAAAACCCAGGAGCATCATCAGGACAGCAGTTTTTAGTATAAGTAGCATGAGTATTTGCATTATACCTAGCTTGTGAGTGCATAGCTAGATGTGAAGGTGACTGACTCTCACTCAGATGGCCCCAGTTTGAAACCCAGGAGCATCATCAGGACAGCAGCAGATTCAAAGCAAAAGAACAGCAGCAGGAAAGAATATTATGAACAGAAAGCACACAGAGATGAAGTAAGGAAGAAAGAGGAAAGACTATAACACAAAGAAGGCAAAATAAAGAAGTAAACAGCAGCAGTTGAATGGGAATTTTTTTCTTTTTTCTATACTGCTTTTCAGACATGGGGGATGCTTTTATTGGGGAAGTTCCCCCAAACTTTGCTGGCTTGCGTTGGGAACCCATTCTGACATGCATTGGCCAACGTTTGGGGGAACCTCCCCAATGTTTGCCAGAATGGGTTCCCAACGCAAGCCAGCATGCCTTGGCCAACGTTTGGGGGAATGCCTGCTCTCAGACGTTGGGCAGTGACCAAACGGCTGTTAGCCCAATGTCAGGGCCACAATGACTTTCCAATGGGGCTGCAACGCAGGTTGAAACGGCCAAATTATTTGCTGGGTGTTGACAAGAAATTCGAAAAAAAATCCTCAAAGAATCAAATGAAATATTTTTTAAACTTAGAAACACAGAAAGCAATCCTGCAGATACAGAACTTATGCAGTTATATAATAAATCAGTTTCACACTGACCAGCGAGGAAAAGGATGCGCAAATTCCTCATCCCACAGATATGTTGCATTCCAAAGTCCCTTATTTGAGGACACCATCGCAGAGACAAAAAAGTAATGGTCACCATTGTGCTGAGGTAGCCGAGACCGATATCCGTCACCAGTATGCACCTGTTGAAAGAAAAATTTCATAACTCATAAAAATAATTTTTGAACACTCCATTGGTACGGCTACAATTACAAATATGGATAGTTACAGACTAAAACTATATTACCATGGATTATTGCACTGTTAAAGGAAAACATCTCTGATGGAGAAAATAAAGCTTCATCTTTATTACACCCATTTAAGCACAGTACTTTTTTTTGCATAACTCACTCAGATGCAATGCATTGAACCTGTAATCCAAACATTTTGAAAAAAAAATTGAGATGAACTGTTTTTGGAAATGGGGTTTCATCTTAATTTTTTTTCTCTAGAAAGTGTGGATTGCTGGTTTAAATCATTGCATCACAGGGGGTTCTGCTCAAAATTACAGTGAGACCCTCACATACAGACACCTTGACATGTGGACAATTCAGCAAAGGGACACTTATTTTCCCATAAAAATTAATTAAGAAGGCGCAACAATGCAGACACTGACAAGTCATATGGACATTGTTGTGATTAAATTGTAAATAAGTTGTAGGCCAAATTACAAGAAACAGATATTTCCAACCCTAAAATTGATGTGAGAAAAATTCTTTGGCATTTCTCTCATTAATTTACCATCCATTTAGATAATTTAAAAAAATTACCTCCAGCATAGAGGGACTTCCTTACAACATACACAGCTCTATTTTTTGCTTGACTATTATTGTTACAGATAATGCCAACCTTTCTATGTAATGTTCAGAGGTATCAGTATTCAATTCCGGAAGTGTCCATATTGATTGAATCAGTTTCAATTGGGAGACATTTTTAAAAATGGAATTATGATGAGTATTTTGTCCACGAAACACCAATTAAAAATTATATAATGTAAGCGTAAGGGAAAATGAGACTCAACTTAGGTACACTCTTGATTCACCAATTATTTTTTTCATATCTTGGGGTCTCACTAAACTCAAAAATGGATTAATAATAGAAATGAAATGATTCATAATTAAAAAAAACTTTGTGAACATTTGGAATGAATTAAGCCATTGATTATAGAAGTCAAAGGGAAACCGTGATTTGTAAAAATAAAATAAAAATTGTCCAAAAAATGTGGATAAAAACTTGTTTCCAATTTTTCTTGTTTTTTACAAATGGTTCTTCATTTCGAATTATACTTCAGAAAGTGTGGATTGCAGCTGGTTCAAAATATTGTCTCGTCTAAGCTGGGGGTTATGTTCTCATGGTAAGGAAATAACTTCGGTCAGTGGTGGGAAAATGGTAAAGGATCGCAACCGTAATAGCCAGGCAGCAACATGCAGACGCATTTATAGCCAACCTGTCAAGGGCCAGCTCCTCCAGCTGGCCCAGGTCGCACGCAATGTATTCCAAGGCCGCGTCCGTCAGCCTGGGACACCATGACAAGTCGAGGCATTTGAGTCGTCTCATGTGCTCCGCAATCACTTCGATCCCTTCGTCGCTGATTTTGCTGCAACCCGACAGGCTCAGGCTGGTCAAATTTGACAAAGCTCCAGCTGAAATTCAAGAAGCGAAACATTTTTGGATTTGTTTGAAATTGGGCGAATAGAGATCAACATGTACAGCTGTTGAGCATTCGAACGGACTTTGAACATTCGCTTGAGCCTAATTCAGAGCATTTGACTGCATGATGAGGGCGTTTCTGTTGGAGAATTTGGTCAATTCGTGTGGGCTATACTCGAAATAAAAATGTGAAAATCTGGCCGCCTTTTGGGAATTGTGCATTATTCATTAATTTCCCATTTGCAATTCCTGTTAATGATACGGTATTTTGTTTTCAATGTACGTCAGGGAAAGAATGAGATGTATGCATATACACATCAGTTGTGCAATTGTACATTGTGGAATTTATTTTCTTTTATTTTGGTAACCCCTATACAGCTTATTTCTTTGTTTCCCATTCTGGAAGGATTGAATGTGTTTGAATGGATTTGGGTTGCATGGGGATTGAGGGGGTTTGGATGTGGGAATGTTGATTGAACCTTGTGAACACTGAAAATCAGAAAATAAAGCTTTCTGTTTGATCATGCATTTATCCTATACGCATTCATGTGTAGTATGATTTGTAAATCATTGAAGAAATAATTTGCACTTGTCTTCTTAGTTTATGTTGGAAGCAGGTTTTCTATAATTCACATAAAAATTAAGCACATAAAGACCTTAAACATTCTCGAAAAAAAGTTTGACCAAACTATTAGGCTTGAGTTTGAGAGATTTAAAAAGCATTGGTCTTCAGGAAATCGCTGTAGGTGGGAATTTTGCACAAATGCAACTTAGAAAACGGATTTCTATACTTTTGGATGTTTTGCTTAAAATTTTCACTGTACAGCGAATTCGTTCAAAAGTTGTCTTTCGTCCAACTTCTGAAAAAAGGCGAGAAATTCGGAGTTTACAATAAGAAAGCCGAGATTCGATGTTTTTAAGCAGGCATTTGACCGCCATTTATTGGCAGTCTGACACGATGACGAATAATATAAAATGCTGAACCGTATGATTACCAAGAAAATTTCTTCCGAAGCATCGGAAGCATTTAAGAGATTTGACAAAGGTTTTCCTGCTGCCAAGCGTTTGTAAGTCATCGTTATACCATATAGAGTCTGTGAAGTAAGCTGTTGAAATCTTTCAAGGCATACTACAGTGAGACCCCAAGATGCGGACACAATTGGTGCATCAAGAGTGTCCCTAAGTTGAAATGTTCCTTAGTTGTGTCTCATTCTCCCTTGGACTTTCATCATATAATTTTTAATTGGTGTTTTATGTACAAAATATTCACCATAAGTCTATGGAAATAAAAATGTTCTCCCAATGTACACGGATTCAATCAATATATTTCAACACAATATGGACATCTGAGGAATTGAATACTGATACATCTGTACAATACATAGAAATGTTGGCATTCTCTGTAAAAATAACATTCAATTGAAAAATAGAGAAGGAAGTCCCTCTATGCTTGAGGTAATTTTTTAAATCAGCTAAATGGATGGTAAATTGGTGAGAGAAATGCCAAAGAACTTTTCTTACATCAATTTTAGGGTTGGAAATATCTGTTTCTTGTAATTTGGCCTGAAATGTGTGTGCAATTTTAACACAAAATGTCCCTATGTTGAGTCAGTGTCCTCATTTTGTGCCTTTTTTTAAATCAATTTTTATGGGAAAATAAGTGTCCCTATGCCAAACTTTTTGCAGGTTGAGTTGTCCGCATATGGGAGTCTCACTGTATATGATCAATTCTTTCATAATTGTGCATCAATCGAACAAAGCTGTACATGAACACGCAAGAGAACATTCGACAATATTTTTTGTTGCGTGGCTACAGTTGATCATCATTAAGGCATTGATGGAGTGGAGGTTTGACGTGACTCAACTGAGCCTCATCATTTCTCACAATAGATCGATAAGAAAATAACGTCACGTGTTCCCTCGACTCGACACAGAATCCTTGTCTTTCGCCACAGAGAAAGAGATTCATCAAAATCGACACTTGTGCTGTCAGTCATCCATTGTGTATCTCAAAAAAAAAGGAAGATCCTCCGAAAATCGACGCCCCGACGATGATCGTGATCCTCTGCAATTCCTCTCGGGGGGAAAAAAAAATTGAGGAGAAATCCCCAAAGCTTCGAATCAATTCACGTCACTGAGCAAAAATCGACGCGGATCCTCGGATCCCGTTGTTATGAATTATTTGCGGAACAACGAAGATCACATGGGGCGGGGTTTTTCTTGAATTGCGGTCGATCGATCTGCGGGTTCCCAGGAGAAGCTTTAAAGTGCTTTTGCTGATAGAAAAATAAGAGGATTACTTTTTCCTCCAGCGGAAGGTTCATCTTTCATAAACCCGGAAGAATTTCCGCGGAAATGGGATGAAATTCATTCGCAGGGAAAGTGCGGAAAAAAACGGAATCGTCGCATTTTGCAAACGAATGTTTCTGGTTCATCAAAACGCTGGAAGAGAATTTTTTTCAATAAGCACAAAATGAAAGCGAATATAAAAGATTTCTGGAAATTTTCTGTGCTTTTTAGCAACGTGGAGACCCTTTCGTATGAATTTCTTTAAAAATGCAATTCAAAAATTTTCAAGAATTTTCTTTGCACAAAGTGAGTTGATACTCAGTCAGAGTTTCCCCTGACGAGAACATTATACTGTTGATGATGATTGGTTTAGTGGACTATGTCACACTATAATGAGAGTGGTATTAAATCAGGGAGCACTAAATCAAGGCTGACATGCAATGAAGTATGCATCAATTACAGTCATGAAAGCACATTATAAATCACTGTCTTGGAAGTACAGTACATTATCATTTACAGTAATGGAAGGGCATTATCAATTACACACATGGAAGTAAGTATCAATCAGAAGCTTCAAAGTTTGCATCAATTAAATTAATGGAATTTGGCATAAAAAATTGGGGAGTTCCTCTAAATTTGTTGAATATTTCTATATGTCTTTTGAGTATCTTCAGAGCTTTTGTGAGAATCTCACAATAAAAATATCCATTGCATTTTTCAGTTTCCTTGCATTCATTGTCAAGAATGGCTTCAGTTTATGAGGATTACGTAAAATGCAAGAATTTGGTTGGGCTACAACTGGGGTGACTGAACACCCTATTCTGATGAAGTTGGTATATTTTCTTGGAGAAGGTTTTTACAATTCACAAAATTTGCCAAGTACTGTACTTGGTAGATCCTTGCAGTACCACTATACTTGAACCAAAATGAAGTTTTTAAAGATAAGTTTTGAGAAGAGTTCCTTTCAAGGATATGGAATATTTCCACTGAGATTGTTGTTTTATATATCAAGTTTTTGTTTTAACTGTTTCTATTTCCAGTCATTTTAGTTTCTAAAGATTTGGGGATTTTATGACCATTGGTTGTTTTACAGATTCCCATGGGAGTTGGGGTTAAAACTCAATTTGCACAGAAATGTCCAAGGAAAGGTTTTTGGAGAATACTGAAACTTGTCCTTCTATGAATTGGCAGTGGAACAAATTTAATGCTGGTGCTCTCTTTGAGAGATTAAGTTTCAAAGATACAGTCAACCCCCATCTAAGAGACTCAATTCCTGCAACAGACAATTCTGTTAGGCAAAAAGTCCTCTCAACAAATTCAATTATATGAAAAATTAAAATGTTTAGTCATCAACACTAATTTTAAACCAACAGAAGTCTGTTTAGAAAATTTTGTAAGGTTTTAATCTTATGATTCAAATTATCAAGCCTTACAGGCTTACACCTTGATTTACAGAAGAGTTTACAGCAGTGTTTCAGGATATAAGAATTTTGATTAATTAAATCAAACACGGCAATTGGCCAGGCACAAAGCAGCCAGGGATTTCTCCCCTCTAGCGCTGACCTTTCTTTTCTCGCAAAAACGGTACAAGGAAAATTATACACACAGGATTGAATGCAGACAATAAAAAGTTTCACACACACACAGAGACACAAAAGGTTTCAGAACACAATTTCAATTATGAGGAATCCAGTTGAATTTATATATTCCAGAAGTGGACCAGAACCTTATTTGACAAGGAATCTCAACAATTTTCCAATATCCCAATTTTCTTGAACACAGGTTTTAATTATAATGATGAATTAGGGAGAAATTTCAGAAGTAAAAATACCAGAGTATTCCAAAAGTGGACTCAGGTTTTTTGCACACAACACTCAAAGTAAATGTTTTCCAAAAAGTCCAACAAAATCAAAAAAATAACAATGCAGACATAAGACCTTGTTGGTTTTTAAAAGGTAAAGTTAAGTTCCAATATTCCAGAGATGGACTAGAACTGTGTTTGGTAGAGACTCACAACACTCAAACAAAAAAGATTTCTCAAGAAGTTTTCAAAATTCCAAATATTCAAATATTTGAGGCTCACAAAAAATGCCTGTTGGCTCTCAAAATTTGACTGACTGGTCTTGCCCAAATTTGGGAGGTTTTATACAATTCTTCCCTGCAAATTTTGGCGGGGTTTCTCAACAGGAAAAATACCCAGTTGCAGGGAAACTTTCTGACTTTGAAAACACCAGGTGGTGGCAGCTGCTGTCAAAATTCTTTGGACAGCTTAATTTTGCTGTTTTTGTAGGTTTTAGTGCATGTTTTTCCCAGCAATCAGGTGTCTGTTTTTATAATCTTGCCAAATTTTCAGCAGTAAAACAATATCCTCAAGGGATTGGTTTTCTGGGGAGCTGCAAACTTTGGACAGTTTAGGGTCGTTTTGACTCAGAAGACAAATTGTTTTTCAAGGAAGGCAATGTGTTTCCGCCCATTTTTACCAGCAGCTGGTCATGTTTTTATTTTGTCCCCCAGTTCAAATTTTACTGGAAGGGAGCAATTCCCTTTCTCTAGGCTTTTGCTGATTTTACAATCTGGTATTGCCCCAGTTCCAGGGAATGGTTATTTCTGTTGCTCTGTTGTTATTTTTTGGCGCATCCTGAGATGCGCCATCAAGTTTCAAGTCAACGTTTTTTTTTTTCTTTTAGCGCAGCGGCCTTTGCTGTTGAAAAATTCCGCACAATTTTTGTGTGTCAAGTGGGAGGAAAACTGTCTGCAGAGCTGGTCTGTTATGCGAAAATCCCTTACGCGGGAGGTCTGTAGGGCGGGGGGCCACTTTACGGGCATAACCTGATAAATTGAATTTTTTCCTCAGAATAGCTGACTAAATTATCGACATTCATGTCGCGAGAAAATATTGCGCTTTGGCTTGTAATATATTTTTTTTTAATTTCTCTTTTTTTTTTATTTCATGCTGGAAAGAAACTCGAATGATGAGCAAAATGAGCATGAAAGGCGAAGCACGCGAAGACTGCAATCTGACAACTATGTAGCCCACTTTGCTTGACAATGGAACCCTTCAAAGGAAACCCATTCCTTAATTGCTCTCTCATCGCCCGGACCACCGTGAATACATTACCAGTCACGTCAGCAGCAGCCCTTACTCATTGTTAATACAAATTAAACCATGCCAGTCAACTGCTGCTCTTTTATCTCCACCTTTCATCACACAAGCATCACCAGTCACGGGGATAACCCCCTTCGCTCCGGGTTTTTTTTTATTATCTTAATTTTAAGGCTTGATTAATCTAATTCTTACTGGTAAAACCTTACAAAGTCAACGTTTTTTTTTCTTTTAGGGCAGCGGCCTTAATAGTTGAAACATTCGGCATTACTTTTGTGTGTCAAGTGGGAGGAAAACTGTCTGCAGAGCTGGTCTGTTAGGCGAAAATCCCTTACGCGGGAGGTCTGTAGGGCAGGGGGCCACTTTATGGGCATAACCTGATAAATTGAATTTTTTCCTCAGAATAGCTGACTAAATTATCGACATTCATGTCGCGAGAAAATATTGCCTTTTGGCTTGTAATATATGTTTTTTAATTTCTCTTTTTTTATTTCATGCTCGAAAGAAACTCGAATGATGAGAAAAATGAGCATGAAAGGCAAAGCACGCAAAGACTGCAATCTGACAACTATGTAGCCCACTTTGCTTGACAATGGAACCCTTCAAAGGAAACCCATTCCTTAATTGCTCTCTCATCGCCCGGACCACCGTGAATACATTACCATGCACGTCAGCACCAGCCCTTACCGTAACAATTATGTTTAATTTGGTACGGTCAGTTGACGACGAGAAAATAGAGGTGGAAAGTAGTGTGTTCGTAGTGGTCAGTGCCCCTATTGGGGGAAGCGAGGCCCAAAAAAAAATAATAGAATTAAACCGCGTCGGGATCCGAATTCATTTCGTGTCACTGTTGCCATCCGAAGAGACTCAGCGTTAATTAGATCAAAAGCTGGCTGAATATATACGCATCAAAACAGCCAAAAAATTTATGCATCTGCGCCTCGTTTCTTTGATCTAATTTCAACTTCACGGACGAGAGAACCGACTCGGATTATTCATTTCCCCCGAGAAATAATTTCCGTGTCACACTCGGGTTCTATCGCACCACGAAATTCATGACATGAAGTGTGCTATCAAAGAAGTTCTCACGGGCTGAAAATCACACGCATGTGAAACATGACGACAGAAATTAGGTAAGTAATTCAAATTTATAAAATGTTTTCTCCATGATTTTTCATGCTACATTTATACGATGCCTTGGATAATGTTTTTGAAGAGGAAATCAATGAAATTGGAAATCATTAACATTTGCTTGTCTTGGAAAAAAATAACCAACAGACTTGGGTTTTAATTTTTCGCAAAAAATACAATCACTGGAAAAATTTGAAAATTACTCAAGATGTATAGGAAAGTTTCTGCTACAAACAGCATACAATTTTCAATACTTTCTTGGCCCTGAAAAATTTGTAACAGCTTGTGAATTGAGTGGAGAACTCTCTCCATATCAGGGAAGTTTTCACTTATCATCATATATGTAGACTTATAT